TTGAAAATAAGTCAAGACGTGAACAATAACTATTGATCCCAAGTCAAAATAGTGACAATGAGATGAAATCTGCCGGTTGACTCCGCCTTCATGCCCTGTACTTCACCCCCGTCACAGAGAAACTTCCTATGAAGCTTTCCCGGACCTTCTTCATCAAACCTCTCCCTCCCGCCATCATTTTTTGCTGTTTTGACATCTTCAGTCCAATTTACCGGGGGTGTTTTCTATCTCTATGCCTTTTGTCCCTTCTCCGACCCCTGTGTCGCGTCCGATCGGCCCGTAATCCTAATCGCGGAGAATCGAGTCTCGCCCGCCCCAGAACTGGGGTTTTGGAGCGAGCATGTCGCTCGGCCACAACGCCTGGCCTCCGGGCAACATTCGGCCCCCAGATGACCTTCAGGACTCTCCCCGGCCAGTCAATGGCTTAGTGAAGACTTTATCTGGCTCCCGGACGCCACAAATACGCGGCTCTGTTGGCGCCGAAGGACCGAACCCTAGCTCGACATCCGATGCCGATATCGCGCCCGAAGAGGACCCGCGCATTGCTCAATTCCGTGAATTGTATCGCCGTAGCGAGGCGAAAATAAGTGCGCTGTTCTCTGGACGATACTCGGACGATAACCCTGCCGCTGGGGAAACTACTGAACCGTCCGAAGCTCAGCCCGAACGCGTCGATGATGCGCCTCCCCCTTCCACCGCCCCACGCAAGACTGCCCGAAAGCTTGATGACGATGATTACGATGACTACGATGACGATGACGAAGACGAGGAAATAGACGATGCTGCCGAATCCCCTTTGAAAACCAAGTCCGCCGCTGCGCTGCAGGATCCTAGTGGTGCCGCGCCATTAGCACCCCGTCCCGGTACCTCGATATCCTCCAATGCAGATGGGCTTAAGGAGCCCAAGAAGGAGACAATGGAGGATCTCCGGAAGCAACTCGAGGAAGACAAGAAAGCAACGGAGGAGGCTGCCAGAAGGAGCTTCCACACTCTGTTCTATACCCTTGAGAATGATCGAGATGCCATGCTTGATCAACAGCGCTTGGAAGAGTCTGAACGTCAAGTCGAAGCAGAGATATCCGGTCAAGCCAACATGGGCGGCAACAATGTCTCCGGGGGTTCCAATGGCTACAGTTCCTTGAGTAATACTAACCTGGGCGCATCCAGTCTGACTCTGAAGAACCTTATCGCACGAATTGACAAGAAGCGCGACCGGGTGCAGGCATCGGATGCTGAGCTGCGGAGTTTGTTGAGTGAAGTTCGCAAGAACCGCAGCAAATGGGCCAACGAAGACAAGGTCGGCCAGGAAGAGCTCTATGAAGCTGCAGAAAAGGTCCTCAGCGAGCTCAAGGCTATGACAGAACACTCAACTGCTTTCTTGACTCGCGTCAATAAACGCGATGCACCGGACTATCATACCAGTAAGAAGCCTTTTCGCCGCAATGATATGTTTCGTCTGCTAACCGTTACCAGTAATCAAGCACCCGATGGACCTTGGATCAATGACCAAAAAGCTGAAAGGCTTGCAGTACAGATCGAAGCAAGACTTTGTCGATGATCTCACCCTCATTTGGGCCAATTGCCTGAAATACAATACCAACACCGAACATCCTCTGCGGAAGCATGCCCTTTACATGCGTAAAGAGACGGAGAAGCTTGTGCCTCTCATTCCAGATATTGTCATCAGAGACCGCGCCGAAGTTGAGGCCGAAGAGCGTCGACTGCAGCTTGCTGATAATGATGGCGCCGAGGAAAGTGACGACGAACCCATCATGTCCTCGCGAGGTAGAAAGGCTCCTGGCAAAAAGTCTTCCAAGAAGGGAACAGCTCCTTCTCGTAATACTCCCAGTGGTTCTGAGGGTCCTGGTAGGGCCCCCAGCACTCAGCCGACTGCGCCAGCTCGCGCAGACTCGGACGCTGCCGGCGAAGCTAGTCAAAATGGATTTTCTACACCACCTCCTGGATCCAATACCCCGTCTGACCCTGCTGGTGCAGGAGCGATACCTGCGGCGAGCCAGGATGATGCGATGGATATGGAGGGTCCGAGCACTTCGACAACTGCGCTCAGTGCCATGTCAGTTGCCGGTGGCGCAGAACCGGAAGACCCGGAATACAAAGTGTGGAAGCAAGTCACGAAGAGAGATAGAGCACGTGTTGCGGCAGAACGCCATCGTCTCCTCCGGGGAGACAAACTCAACTCTGAAGAACCCGCTTTACTCCGAAGTAAAGCTGGCATGCGCCGATGGCTTAGACACCAGAAGCAGGCTATCATCGAAGCTGACAAGTCTCGCGATGGTGACTCCCAAGCCATGGAACCTGAGGCCGCAGGCGAGAGTCTCGCAGAAGGTATTGAGGTGGAAGAAGACCAGATGCTGCCTTATTATTATGATGTCATGTCTGGTGTTCCTGATCTACCTGAGCGACTACTCTGGAAGGAAGACGCCCAAGGCAATGTTGTTGATGCCTCCGAAGAGTTCCTTCATATGCTTCCAAAAGGTCAATTCATCCAACCGGACAGCAATTTGACCCGTAAGATGAACTCGAACATGCGACAGATGCAAGAAACTCGCAAAATATGCTCTAAAATCGGCATCGTCAAGCAGATGCAGCTCCAATCTCAGGTAGGCAAGCCCAGTACTCCTTCATGACACAAGTTCTCAGCTAACTTTCCTCTAGATGTACCAAAATCAGTTCCAAAAATATCAACCCGAACCATTTATGGAGCAAGACATCGAACCACATGTCATGAATGACAACGGCCCTGTCATTGCTCCCTGGACCTGTAGGGCAGCGTTGCAGCGCTCAGTTGCTAAAATTTTCTATCATACTGGCTTTGAGGAATACCAGCCTTCTGCTCTTGAGGCGGTCACAGATATCGCTGCCGACTTTTTCCATAAGCTAGGGTCCACCTTCAAATCTTATATGGAAACACCAAAGGTTCCTACCACCGAATCACATGAGTCTACACCCTCAGCCGCCGAATATAAACCTCCATACACCCCATCTGAAATTGTTCTGCACACCTTGTCTACCGTGGGGATTCATATAGATGAGCTGGAGTCCTACATCAAGGACGATGTTGATCGTCTGGGTACCAAGCTCACCACTGCCCATGATAGACTCAAGTCACTCCTGACAGAACTTCTTCGGCCTGCCCTTGAAGGTGGCGAAGATGGCTCAAATGCATTTGCCGATGGCAGTGAACAGTTTGTCGGCGGTGACTTTGCTGAGGATATTGATGAGGATTTCTTCGGTTTTAAAGAACTGGGCTTGGACCGGGAGTTTGGTCTTTCCACACTCAGCGTTCCCTTGCATCTACTTCAAAATCGGATGTTCAATGCGGCCAACCCTCAAAGCACCAGTGTTTCACAGACCGTTACTCTTTTCCCTCCTCCGCCCCCGTATCCACGCATCTCAACGGACAACCTACCTCGCCAAATTGGTCTCTTACGGGGTTTCTTCAAGGGAAAGCTTGACGCAAACCATGATGAACCTCTTGTGGAAGACCTGGAGCTGCCCCCTAAGCAGCGGCCTATGGCGATCAAACCCCGTCTTCCAGCCTCTGGCAAAATCCCCCAGACTAGCCTCTCGGGTCTTACAGCCAGTCCGCAGAAACGAGCCGCTCCACCGATGGCATCCAAATCTGGCGGTGCAGAGCCAAGTAAAAAGAAATCCAAGAAGAACAGCGGTGTGGCCCTCGAAATGCCCAACTTCAACCCCGACGGTGAAGGCGACCAAACAACTGGTGACCAGGCGACAAATGACAATATGAACACCGAAGACATCGGACTCGGACGGCGGTGAACCCATGGCCAATGGGGTGTGATGTTTAACTTCCAAGGTCAGCTAGGTCTACAGTTGACTACCAGCATACTCCTATACTTCCCTTCGCCTCTCCTTCTCTTGCGCATGTGCCTTTCTTTTTCATATCTACCTGCATTTATATTCCTTCAACATCCGCCATGTCTAATGACATCATCAGACGGACTTTTGTGTCCTTTTGCGTCGGTACAATTGACAAACAGGGAGCAAGCAGCAATAGGACCCAGCACCCAATATTTGAACTGTTGGGAGACTGCATCTTTTGACCCTCTACTTCCGATACATAATCCAGCCCTTGTATTTTATTGGTTGTTCTTGCTTTTTGCCCCCTTGATTTTTCTGTCTGCAGCAAAGGCAAGTGGATCATTCCCCCGTTTTAGTCTCTTTGTATCATAACGTCCCTTGATGGGACTTTTCATTTCTTAGCAGAATATCTATTCAACTTTACTCAATTCATATCCATTCTCGAACGGCTTATGTCTCGCTCTTTTGTGCTAGATTAAGCAAAGATCAATGAGTAACTCGCCTAGCTAAGATTAGCAGTGGCAAGATGTGAAAACCAGGAGCTGTTCGAATAACGACTCGGCCAAAGCACTCTGAACTGAATACTTTTCCCAATATATCACAATAGAAATTAACGGAATCCTCTACTAGTTACTCATCTAACAATTGCACAATGCAATGGGATATTCAGAAGAGATTTTTTTGGTATTTTCTGGGTTAACGACATGATAAAGAAATATGAAACTATTCGTCATGAATTGAGACCAGCCTTGAGTGTACACACCATCAGCGAAGTTGTTTTAGAAACAACGGTACCTTTGTAGTAACCGGGTCCAGATCGAGTAGTTAGTAACGATAAAAACAAAAAACAAAGTTGGCTGGGATACAAACAGTAAAAGTATGACTCATTCAAAGCTGCAAGACCAGCCTCGAGTCTACAGCCGGCGCAGTCGTCCTTGTGAACAACAGCCACTGCAACCCTACCGCTCGGGTCAAGCCATCATGAAGAGCAGCATCACAAAGTTAATCAATTACATAAAAGAAACCGTGGAGTATTACGCAAAGGAGTGGGCAGGTAGAGAAGTCATCAGACAGATCTCTGAAAAAGGAGCCCGCACCGTCATGGAGGGAACAAGTTGAATCGTGTCCCCGACCATAGGATTGTTGAAGTTCGATTAGACGTACCACATACCCAGAGCCAGCCTGTTTGAGGTGCCTTCAATGGGAAGCAATCTCTTTGCTCGGGGCTCCTTGGGCTTTGGGTTTGTCATTTTCACCTCTGGGCCACTCTGGGGGCCGGATGTAATGGGCACGTCCTCGTGGTGGCGCGCACGAACCGAAATCAAGTGGGCATAATAGATAGCAGGGTGGACAGACACAGACGTTGTCGAGCGGATGTACTGGTAACAATGATCATTGATCATGCCCTCAAGGTCATTGGGCTTGAGACCAATCTCATCCAGCAGGACATGGTAATGAACTGGACGGGGAGTACCCTGCAGAGCAATGTGTGTGTAGAGCAGGAAGTCCCAATCGTGTGGGCTAGTCACGTCTCGATCAATCAGAGTGCCTGGCAGGGGGGCGCCGTGGGGGTCCGCGGCTGCACGATTCTTGGGGTCGGGGAACGCTCGAAGATGATGGCGCTTGTTGGCAACCACAACACAGATTTTGCCGCTCCAGATCGCCTGACCACACGCATGTGCAATTGCAAAGCGGATTGCAGGGACTTCCTCCGAAAGGATTCTCTGGTATTCGGACGCAGACACACCGTCGCGGAAATAGTAGACATACTCGGGAGCCTTGCCACCCCCAACAGTCGCTTTCCACTCAGCAACCATGGGATGCAGAATGTATTCAATCACTTTGTCCCGGATAACCTCAATTCGATCTCCATTGGTCTCACATCCACCCATGTAGCGAGTTGCGGTGGAATTTGCCGAAACTGACATGGCTGCCAACGACGGGGTCCACACACCCATCATTGGATGAGTGACGTCTGCCCCAATGATCATGGAACCTGGGCGTAAACCTGTACTCTTCACCTTGGGGACAGCTCGAGCAGTGATACCACCAAGCTTTGCATTCACCTTCATGAGGACATTCGCGTGATACTGAGGTCTATTGGCGATGCAGTGTGCAGATTGGAGCACTTGAGAGGGAGTGCCATATCGACAGTCGGCAGACTTTTTAATGCGGAGATAGACCCAAGAGTCCTTGTCGGGAACGATGAACACCATGAGCTGGGGCTCTTTCTGGTTCTGCGCTGCGATCGCATCGTACAGCTTTTTGACACTGGTGCCAACGTCTTCACTTAATCCCTTGACAACCGGTCGACCAGTCACCTCACCACCCATGCTTTTGTACATCTTCACGAATTGCTCAACCCAGCTGAGAGTCTGGTCCTGGCTAATCGACTTTCGATGTCCGGAAAAGAATCCGACACCCCAAGCTTGGAGGGCCTTCTCATTGGGTTTGTAAAACTTCTTACCTCGGAGATCCCAGCTTCCTGAATGCTGAGGGTTATGCTTGCGGTTGCCTCCAAACTGAATCTCGGGGGTTGGAAGTAGGCGAGCCTTTGTCTTGATCATTTGTTCACTGATCTTCATGCCATAAAGCTTTAGGATCGGATCATTCTTGTGTTGGAGAAGTTCCTTGGACTGACGAGCGTTGGCCAAACGTTTCGGGGGCCTGGTTGCACACCATTGAATCATCTGTGCTGCCTGAACATCGGTAAGCTTGTAGCGGTATCTCTGGAGACCTTTGATGACGAGGAACTCGGCGGGGTAATGGACATCTTCCTTTTGCATCTCGACCAAGAGCATATTGGGATATTCAAGGCGGATGTTGTACCGTTTCATGAAGTATTCTTCGAGGTGAATTCGAGTCGATTTCCCAGTGGCCTTGTCGTAGTAGTCAATGAAGAACTCTTTTGGCTTTGCATGAATCAAGCCTTTGACAATGAAACTCTTCATCTTGAAAGGGCAACCCTCGTAGTTGGGTGCCACTCGAAGACCTTGGATCTTTTTGTTCACCTGTGCAAACCACTTTGATTCCCTTGTGCCGCCGTATTCGTCGCGGGTTGACTGGAGATTCTTCACCAGAGTCGACTTATCGTTCCACCCATTCACATTCATCATATAGCCCATAAGACTGATACGAGAAAAGAAGACGCAGTGAGCCACGTCAACATTTAGGATTAGACCTTGCTATAATTAAATGTCAGCTTCCCAATCTTGAATTTGGATTAACGGATAGAGCCTTACAGGAGTGGGTTTAATTGCTTGGTAGATACCTCGGTAAACGGAAGCACCCATATTGGCGAGCGGCTGATAAAACTCCTGCTTCAGCTCCTCGTCATCTCCAAGCTTGTCAAAGAAAAAGGCGCGCTTGATTGCAGCAAATTGCTTGGTGGGCCACTCACGGAGCAAATGATCGAGGAAACCTGTCATTATCAGCTTGATGAATCAAAACGGAGGAATATGCGAATTAACGAGGGACTTACTCAGAGATTCAATCACAAGTTCATCTAGATCACGGCGGTTTTGCAGCCAGGCGTTGATCACGGACAGGTTGATCTTTCGTTTTTGAATAACGGACATTCTGAAAGCAGGATTCCTTCTGAACTCATCGACAGTAGCAAGAGTTTTGATGTCTCGGGTCAAGTCACCCTTGATGTCGATAAGCTCATTCCAGTCATCAAAATTGCGCAGCGACCTGATGGACACATATTAGGAACCATACAGCAGCAAGCAGAAAGACTAATCCTTACCAGCAAATTCTACCACCATCCCAGATACCATCAGGAATGTGTGCCTTTCGAGTCTCGCTGTTCCAGCATTTTCTAAGGACACGTCTGTCGGTCTCGTTTTGGTCTCCATGGAGAACATTGATCTAATAAATGATGAGTAACTCTGGCATTAGTCAAGGGTTAAAACACTCACCTCGTACTGATAAACCGCTTTATCTGGGAAAGAATTGATAGGGTATGCGTTCATCATAACCTCGATCTCTTTACCTGAAGAGTTGTAGCCAACACGGCGCTGAACATGAGTAGGTTCTGGGGTGGTCTAAAATTGGAAACGGGTCAGCAAAAATTCAGAGTTAGTTTGATTGATCGGCCGCAAACTTACAGAGGAAGGCCTGACTTTGAATCGGTGCCAGGGAATGTCAATGTTCTTGCAACCATCCCAGGCAACTGTCATGTAGTCTTGGTGTCGGACAACCTTTTCTTGATCGAGTCTGTGTTGCTCGAAAACTGCCACTTTTACCCCTTCTCTTGCGAGACGTTCATAGTTAGCCTTTTCCTCTGCGGTCCAGTTGGGCGGGAATTCCGGGGGTGTCTCAACTCGACGGATGGGAGAGTCACTGCTACTGGAACCGGTGCTCTTGGGCTTTCGCTGCTCGGTCGCATTAGGATCATATCGGGTCCGGCGCATCCAGGCAGTGCTTTCTGCTTCTTTTCTGCGTTTGGCGTCGTCTTCCAGTCTGGCCTTGTGGTCACGTAATTCTTGGATCTGACGTGGATCCAGTGGCTTTGTCGCGGCAGCAGAAGGGCGCAGGGGAAGCTCAAGGCTGAGCTTTGGTTGACGAGAAGATGTGGAGGAGTGAGGAGGTTTCGACGATGTTGTAGAGCGGTGCCCAGAGCGAGCCCTACGCTCTTCATCGTCCTCGGCTGGGGGCTTCATGGCCTTTTTCGATGCCATGGTGAATTGACGCTCCTATCAATCATCATTGGTTAGTCAACCCTTCTTCTTCTTCTTTGTTTCTCTTTGAGTTTATTAGACAGATGTAAAACCGCTAAGGAAGATAGGCAAAGTAAACTGAGGTTGTTGTGACGGTAAAGTGGTGAGACTGCTTAGGGCTGTGAAGTGAAGCGGACACCGGTTTTTTTCGCTTCGCTTGAATTTGGGGAGGGCAAGCGGCATGGGTAAGATTACTTACAGACAGAGTCAAAGACTTGACTGAGGTCAAGGTGATTTCGGAAAAAAAAAGAAGGATATGGAGGGATCACACAGCAAGGGCAACGCGTTTCACGTTCAAAATGATTAAAGTCTTCAGCGTGGGAGTGGGCAGATAAGTGCAGGAATCAGTGCTGAAGACGAGCAAAGTAGAAGGTGATGAAGGAGGAAGGAAAGAAAACGAGGGAAGGCCTTTTATATGTAAAGGAGCATAGGCACTATAAGGAAGGTGCCGTGGGATGGGTAGTTGCCTTTTCAAGGACGGCTGTATTCGGTAGGCACAGAAGTACACCAAGGTATACCAAGGTAATAACACCATACGAGCCCTATCAGTATCATTATCCCTAGCATCCATTAACAACTGCGGTCAAAGTCCGACCTATGTGAAGAAAAGGTACCTTTCTATACTAGACTCTGCCATGTAATATCATGTACCCCAGCACTGACATATCTCGCACTACCAGTTAAGATCCAAAGTAGTGATCCGGGGCCATGTCATATAGGATATGGATGCCTAAGGGTTATATCCTCTCCAGGTAGTTATCAGAAACAATGACATTTCTAACGCTGAAGTCCGACCTATGTGAAGAAAAGGTACCTTCCTATACTAGGCTCTGCCAAGTAATGTGATGTACCCCAGCACTGACATATCTCGCACTGTCAGTTAAGATTCAAAGTAGTTATCCGGGGCCATGTGGTTATATAGGATATGGGTGTCCAGGGGTACATCCTCTCCGCGTAGTTATCGGAAACCATAACATTTCTAATGCTAAACTCCGAGCTATGTGAGGGAAAGGTACTTGTTTACTAGAGTCTGCCTAGCTATCATGTGCCCTAGCACTGATATATCTCGCAGTTCTAGTTGAGAGTCATGAATGTCTATCCGAGGTTTTGTGACAATTTGTGGGAGTAATGTCCGACCTATCTGAAAAGAAGTTGATTGACGATACTAGAGTAGGGGCGACTATGCCATCGGTGTTCAACTCTCCTATCGGATAATATTGCACGGCAAAGGTCAAATGCCTCATTGTGTAGGGTTGATGGCAGAAGATACCTGGATTTTGCCTTCAGTTTGGTCTTCCACACGACCCAGTAATGGATCTGAGTCGGGATGGGTCGTGACGAGGTAAACTTGATAGATGGGCGATATAACCTTGTCGAGAGAAGCGAATCAAAACTAGCGACCACTAGCTGACTCTATGGATATTCATTCAATCAGTCATAAGAGTGGCAGTGCTGCCTAGATTCAATGGATCAGAAGTAATAAGAATGAATATGGACGGAGGGAAAGGTTGAAGAACTATCATCGGGAATTGCTTAGGTGCACCCACAGGACGGTCCGCTACAGTAACCCAGTATCCATTGGGTCTGGGGCCCCAAATTGAGTGTGTTGTACCAACTAAGCAAACACGCTGATCATGTGTAGAATCCTTCTGGTTTAGCTGGTTTCTGCTAGGAACTCCTTTTGTGTAGAAACTGGGTCGAACTGGGCCTGAACTGGGGTTTCTAGGGCCCTGGTCACTGGGTCTGGGTTGGGCTCTCAGTCGAGACCTTCAACCTTCAAAGGGTCGTGCGGAAGCCTACTTCTTTATTCTAGACGGTGGTATAAATCAAAATACCTGAACTACTTTGATAGAGGGATCAATAAGGAAAGTTTCTTCATTTCATATGAAGTCATTCCTACTATACAAATCTTTGTGTATACCTACTCCTCGGTGTTGAAGCCTTTTCACTGTATAGTTGAGAAAAATATCAATGGTCAACCTCTAATTTCTCAACCACTTTATATGCTTACCTAATTTTGTGATATAATCATGCTGAGATTGAGTATTGAATCTAACATCATGCTCTTTGAAGCATAATTACATATGTGTAGATGTAGGTATAGTTGACATCTTAGGCCTCACACTCCACTTAGCATGTATGCCTCATCCGCCTTGGCGACGGTGTTCTGTATAACGAGTTAGGCAAGTAGTCTCCAACTTAGGTGACTAGTCAGCGAGTGAGACAGGGATGAATGAAAGCGCACGCCTTCTCGGGTAAATAGCAAACACCAGTCTGGATGAAAACGCGGAGCAAACGGGCTAATACTCTAACCGATTGAATCTGTTTAGCTGTCAACTCCTGTCGACAAACGGGGTATACAGATATCACTCTTTTTTTAGATCTTGCCATCTGTCCATAACGCGGTGTATGATATCATACAATTCACTCCGATAGGGACTGTGAAGACGTGATCTACTTAAGCCGAGGAGCAGACCATTGAATATGATGTGCGGCCAAAGTGCGATCAAAGTGCGATCAAAGTGCGACCAAAGTGCGACCAAAGTGAGAGATGGATAACGTCCTACTTTCATACTTTTGGGTTATCAGTGCTCACTTAGGTCGCAGTTTCACATTACTAGTGTAAAGCTAAGATAAAAGGGAGTTGCATTCAATGATTGTGTCCCCAATTTGGGTACCAGGGTCCGGATAGGGACCCATGCAGAGCGGATAATGAGAAGACAGTTCGGGGATGTAGGAGCCTAGCTAATATATCAAGGGGTTAATATCAAGGTGGGCGTGGATTCAAGATATGGCGTGGCTATAGCAGTGCTAGTAAGTTGCATTCAAGGTCTGTAAGCTGATCTATGGCTCCAAACTTCACATTAAATTCCACATCCATTATATATGACCCGGTTTTGCAGAAAGTCTACACTTCCTACAGATAAATTGTACTGGTATGTGTTACTGCTCTCAATAATTTTAGATGATATGGTCCGGTGGCCTTTTCTCGGTTGGCAAGTCTTTTTTCGTATCATTAGAAGTCCGCAGCTTCGCTAGAACCACTAGGTCCTCGCAATCTCACGTCTATCATAAAATGTGAATGACAGCCTAATGATCAGTGGAAGTTCATGAAATTCCCTATGCTTTGGGGTAGGTGTCGATTAGATTGAAGTACTTGACGGCAAAGAGAGCGAGGTATCAGTCTTATGTTAGGTCGACTTCACCTACTGACAACAGATAATCCGAAAAGAGTGCTCTAGAATAATCCACAAAATTCTCTGTGCTCCGTATTGATAGATAATGTTAAAAAGAGAAAAAGATTGGGTCTGAGCCCGGGATTGATAGGGACCTCGCGCAATATTGCTTTGGGTGAAGCCTTAGAGCGAATCATACTATGATATTGTTAGTGAAATGAACTTGACTGTGAAGTCGGGGAACTTCTTACCCACTGGACGCCACCTGGGCGATTGATGAAGGTAAATGTGAGGAATAACAAAATGAGAATCATATTCTGATTTCAAATTTCTTTGATGTAGGTACCTTCTGTATAGGACCACCATACAAAAGTAACTTATGTTCGGAATTCTTTTGAAATCACATGCTGCTCATTCATTGGACTTATCCAATAAATAAAACACGACGTGTCTTCTCAATTAATTAACTCGATTGAGGGAGCCAACCCGAGCTGAACCCCACGAACCCAACCCCACCAACATAAGACAGACCATCATGCCAGCTAAAGACGAAGTGCCCGAGACCTCAATCCTCGATCGCGCGATCAACGACGCGTCCGACGAGACGCTACGCGTGGTTCTCAAATCCATCTGCGCGAAAAACGCCGAAGCCCGCAAAGAAGCCGAGATTCAACTGCTCGTGATGGCACCTGATTCCAAAGAGAACTCCGCCAGCAATAAGAGGCTTGTTGCGCGTTACGCGTCTTGCGTCAATTGCGAGAAGGAATTCGATGTCACGACCAATACGGAGAAGGCCTGTCGATATCATCCCAGTATGAATGCGAGACTGCGATCCAGTATGCGAAATAAGCTAATCCATAATAGAGAAAAATGAGCCCACCGGTGAAGACCTTTATGTTGACAATTGGGATGAATTCGACGTGGACACCGATGAAATGCGGGAGGAATTTCCAGAGTGCTTTACGTTTGGGTGCTGTGATGGAAATCTCAGAGATAACCCTCATGGGTGTGTGACCGACTTCCATCAGGAACAGTGTCCTGACGGGGAGCCATTGAAGAGGCCCAGGGCCCTTTGAGTCGGGGTGCCATGGAGGTGAAAGCGCTGCGTTGACCCTTCCGATAGGAATGTCGGTCGACATGACCGATCAACCCCATCAGGATTCTCCCTAGCAGTGTCTCAAACCTCTAGAAAGCTAGAAAAGCAGTCGATTATCCACAGATAGCTCTGCAATGTGAGATCAACATTTCCTATACTGTGAAGAATGACGTCGGGTTTTTGTCCACTACCCCTGTGTACCATATGCTTTCCATATCTTCCAGGACTTCTTCTCACCGACTTGATGGTTCAAGCAAACACACAAGCCTCTGCATTATTTGGGAGATGTGGAAATGCATTTGGTTTGATTTCCGACCCCGGCTGCTGCTGTGGCATGGAGATATATATAATAACCGAAATTCCAACAGTGGAAACTGAGAGAGCTAGGAAAACCGAGAAAAGGGAAAAGAGCACATATCGCGTCCTTACTGGATGCGGTCAAGGAAATTAAGACTACGGATACAAAGATTATGAGCGAAGGAGCTTATGGGTCTCGTTTACTCCAAAATGAACTAATTATCTAGATAGTCAAGGATCTACGAATTGCGTGCATAGAATGCTTGGTGAATTTATTGGTGAAATTATCTGCTTATTTGCTCTGTACAAGATATGGTTGGAGTCGTCCAACCAGCAAGCAAATGTTGGTGACCTGTGGTGGCCCTATTCGAAAAGAAAATAAGAAGATATGCCAAGTAGATCAACGCCGATGGAAGATGCAAAGAGGGCTCTGAATCGCGTATGCCCCGACCATTTTTCATGAAATACCCCCAGGAAGAAAAAAAAAAGAGCTGGGTCATCAAGTTCTCAAAGACAAATCGGGATATTTTGCGCGCCGGGGGAATGAAATTGCAAAAGCAGAGAGCAAGGAGTTTTACACTGCAAGCGGAATAATGGTGGTCCTCAAAGAGGGAACGAACAACCACGGGCTCAACGGTAACCACCGGAGAAGGGGTTCATCCCCGGGGTTTGGCCTCCACCCGGTCCGTGTGCAACTTGCGGAATCTGTATTTGTGAGATGTCGGAAGGAATCTCAACGTGACGAAGAAGGTCTATGGTTTTTTCTGGGGAAAGGCGAGTGATGTTGTAGGCAGCCGCAGGAGGCAGGATGCTCAAGAGGTTGACCACTTCACGGGGGAGAGGAGCAGGAGATCCTTGAGGTCTGTATGAGGTGTTTTGGCCGTTCAGCTGTTGGACTCGTTTCGGCTGGTCGAGACGCCGAGCTTGCGCGCTCTTCATTGGCGACTCAGCGCGAACAAACTTGCGTGGGCGACCTGAGTCTTCATCATAATCATCAGTGGGATAGGGTCTCTTAGGTGAATTGAGAGAAGTATCCATGTATCTCGCCATGGGAGAACCGTGTGATTCTGCGGAGACTCCTGGCATGTTGGTCTTGGGCCGTGTCTGGGAGGGTGACAAAATCAGTTGTACCGATGTAGGGTCAAAGGTGGAGTCAGAGTAACGATTGGCGAATTGTTCCAGAGCAGGATCCTCTGGGTATAGTTCGCGCATGCGGTTCTCCAAGTTGATCACTTGAGTGATATCACCGTAGCGAGATTCATACTCATGGAGAAAGGAAAAGATAGGCTTAGCCTTGTGCACATTCTCCGGGTTTGATGTCAATTTTCTGACGGTTGTTTCGAACACGGCTCTGGCATCTTTGGTAGTGGTTAGTAAGTCTCTCAGAGAAATATGGGACGGTCAGCTTACTGATGGTGTCGTTAATGTCGAGCAGATGTCTCAAGTATTCGAGCGCAAAGTGTTCATCTTCCGGGAATAATTTTGCACCCCTCTCGAAGATCTTGGTGGCTGCAGGGTCTTTGTAGCAATGATACTCCATCAGAGCACTCGCGATATAAACATCGCTGGTGATCCGGCCTCGTTTTCGGGCTTCGGCAAAGATTTGGCGAGAGCCAGCCAATTCTCCTGGCTTTCCCTTGCCTTGGATCCGACGCATCGAACGCATGAGGGCGATCCATGCGAAAGAGACGGTCTTGGAGAGAACGTTGATCTGAACGGAATGGGCCTTCCGGACCGCATCAATCTGCGCGGTCTTGGCGGCCTCTCTTTCTTTGGCTTCAGGATCATCTTCTTCCTCATTTTGAGGTTGGTTTTCTGTACCTTGTGGAACAAAATAAGCTTCAATACGTGAAACATCCTGGGTTTCCTGGTCGCGGGCTTTATTGATCAAATCGTAAAGTGCATTGAGCAACTTGTCGTATGGTTCCCGAACCTTGGCAGCGCGCTTGGCAGAATCTTGTTCCGAGTCCGAGGTAACCTCCAGTCGGTCCGCACGTTTGAATGTCAGGAGGCAGCTCTCTGGGTTTGCATCAAGGCCATTCTTCAAGAACTCGGTGCCAGCATCCTCCATGTCATTCAAGAAGCAGAACTCAGCCGCATCAAACCACATTTCGGGCAAGAAAGTCAGCGCCATGAGTGCCTGTTTGTAGAAGTACACTACGCGTGACTTGTAAGCGGCAGGGTCTTCCTCTTTCAGTACCAGAGGGTCTTCCTTTTCCCAGGCAATCCACCGCTTCCAGATATCTACCTGTGCTGAGAATTCAACATCACCTTCAGACCCCGGAACAGGAGGCATCGGTGGAAGCGAAGTGCGGATCAGATCGCGGGTGATGTTTTGCAGTTCGGTGTATGAGCTGCGCGCAGTCATATAGGATGGCGAATGTTCTTGAAGGAATTTGCGGCCCTAACAGAAAATATTAGGATAAGTCACTTGAATTCAAGTACTGTCCAGCTTACCGTGAGCTTGTTTAGATTCATCTCGAATTGATCATACTCCTTCCAGAGAATATTGACGGCTTGTGTCGGCACGCCGATAGCTCGTTGGTAGGCCTTTCGCAGTAGGTCCATCTTTTGTTGATCCTGCCACCCAGATCCACCAACGACGCCTGGCCCAGAACGGATGAATTCAATGTAGTCTGTCCAGATATTTCCGGAGTCCTTGTCCATCCCAACATATTGAATGGCCATATCATATGCCGATGATATAGTCTTCCTTGCCTCGTCTGTTGTCAAAGGATTACGACGACGGATGTAATCAAGATAGACAGACCAGAGCTGAACGCTAGGTGTCGCCAGGAGAGTTCGGTTGAAGATTTGCTCCAAGCGGAAGAATTCATTCAGCTCAGACTCCATGGTGGCATAAGCCACCCATTGGTCGGCCTAGGATGTATCCCATTAGCAATCGTGCACCGTGTTGAGAGAGAAAAAGAAAGGGCAGAGAAAGAAGAGCAAAGGTAGACTTAGTAGACTTACCGCCATGGGAAACAGCTTTAAGAACCGCTCATAAGTGTCTCGTGCGCTGTCTAGTCTGCTGCGACCTCTGTGCTCGGCAATTAACTCCAACCAAGCAGGGATATCACCTCGGGGATCCTCTCGAATTCGGTCTTCCAGCATACCAACACGGTCATGGGCCAGACGACCCTTTGAGGCAGGAGAATCAGGTACAGAAGTAGGAACAGTACTGTTCTGTATGGTTGCAGATTGCAAGTCTTGCGCAGCCCAGTGCGATTGGCCAGGAACAGAAGAGGGATCAATATTAGGAACAAGAACAGGAGAATAAGAACTATTGGCAACATCTGGTCCACTGGCAGGTCCCTGCTCAGCTTGGTGTGATGATACATCAGGGGAAGTGTTTTGCATTGCATTTCCTGAGCTGGGATCTTCAGACATGGTCACAGGCATAGCACTGGCATCTTCACCCCCAAGTACAGCCGGCGGCTCATACTCCGCATCACCCTCGTCATCCTCGTCATCATCAACTTCAAATCCCCCAATTGTTCTGGTCTTGGGCTGTGCCTCGGCAGCAGATGCTGGGACGGGCGTCGACGACTCAGCACGTAAGGCGTCCTGAGAAGGGTCGGGGGAGTCACTGGTCTGGCCAGCATCTGGGTCTACGTTTGCGGCGACATTTGCGTCTGAGCCGACGGTCGGATTGGGGATAGATTCTTCGGTCTCATCCGAGGGAGATGCATCAGCGGGACCGGTATCAGGCTGCTTAGACTCGGGAAAGGAGGCCGAGTATTGATCCCCCAATGCCAATGAGGGGTCATAGTCATCTGATTCTGCGTCTGAGTTATCACCTTCCTGCTCCTGAGTGGGGGATTGGGAATCGGTATTCAAGGCTTGAGCCTGGAAGAAGGCAGTTTCAGCTTCATCGTCCGCCATGGTGGGAAGATAAATGCGATAACCGTAAGGTCAAAGGAAAGTAACAACTGGGAAAGTCACAAGTGCACGGCGCAAGCCGAAGCAGGGTTTGCGCGATGTGATATCGTATGTAAAATGGAGACAAATCTTCCGAGGGTCAAGGGTTCAGGTGGAACACAGCCACTTTTGACGAGATAACCCTCAGCCGCAATGTATCTGATAGCAAAGACCTCAGATGGAGAAGAGCAAAGCTGATGCAGGTTGCCCGGGTAGTGAAATTGGGGTCACGTGCGGGCGGTGAGGACAAATGCGAGGGACGCGAAAGGCGCGTCGATCGATGGGCTCCTCGCATTGAGCTAGAGGGGTTGAGAGTAAACTGCATTCTTGTGGACCTGTTGATTTCTCTTACTCTGCCTATTTCTTCTTCTTCCCTTGTTCATACAATCTTCCACTCTTACCTCTTCACCTCTTTAATTCCCCGTACATACTCTCTATCTTATCAAAATGTCCGTCGTCTCACTCCTCGGAGTGAAAAACCTCAACAACCCGGCTCCTTTCACCGCTTCTTACCAATTTGAAATCACCTTCGAGTGCCTTGAGCAGCTCCAGAAGGGTGAGTATTGGCCTGTGCTCCTATATCCCTAGTCAAGTCTTCTAACAAGTCTTTTTCAGATTTGGAATGGAAACTCACCTACGTCGGATCCGCCACTTCGTACGTCGACCCTCCCATTACTCCCTGTTTACTACCAATCCCGCAGAGTCTAACTATCACAGCTCTGAGTATGACCAAGAACTCGACTCCCTGCTTGTCGGACCCATCCCAGTCGGGGTAAACAAGTTCATCTTCGAAGCGGACGCACCTGATGTCAAGCGCATTCCCACTTCCGAGATGCTCGGCGTCACCGTCATCCTGCTCACCTGCAGCTACGACGGTCGAGAGTTCGTTCGGGTTGGCTACTACGTGAACAACGAGTATGACAGCGAAGAGTTGGCGGCCGAACCCCCTGCGAAGCCTATCATAGAGCGAATTCGCCGCAATGTCCTCGCCGAGAAGCCTCGAGTGACCCGCTTCGCCATCAAATGGTGAGACCTCTTGTTTTGTTTGATCACATACCCAGTGGGGCTTTTATTTACGTTTCTACTTCTCTCCATAGGGACTCCGATGACTCTGCCCCTGCAGAGTACCCACCTGACCAGCCCGAAGCCGATGGTCTCGAAGATGACAGTGGAGCGTACGGTGCCGAGGAGCGTGAGCTTGAGGCTGCGCTCCTTAAGGAGCTCGAGGAGACCAACAAGCCCGCCGAGGGCGATGACCATGAGATGGAAGGCGTTGAGGCTCCTGCTGGCAAGGACGATGACGAGGACGAGATCTCCGATGCCGAGAGCGAAGATCTTGAGGCGGAGAGTGATGACGACGAGGATGAGCTTGATGAGGAAGAGGGTGCTGATGGTGACGATGATGTCGAGATGGGCGATGACACAGAACACAAGGACGATGCTGCCAAGCCAACTCACCAGGCGCAGCCCGAGGTCATGGTACACTAAATCGTGGTGTGCCACTGACTCGTAGGAGTGGTTTCATTGCTTTTAATTTCTTCCTTTTTTGAATGTTATTTAACGACAGCCAGAACGCAACGTTTACGACCCTTGGACTGATTTTCTATGCGCTTACCCTGTTCACTAAAAATCCATGAAATATCTAGAATTGGTATAGCCTTAAATCCCAACCTTAGTAAGCCGTTCAATGTAACTAACTATTTTCATGTGAACATGTAATAGGAACAGTTGCTCTGCCTAGGTAAGGAGACAATGCCTTCAAAACACTGTCACGATCAATTTAGATCCAGAGCCGAGGAGAAGTAGGGGACATTGCAAAATGATCTGGCACACTTGCATCCCAGGCATGACCTAACTAGCCGGACGCCGGTAAAGTAAAACAAAACTCCAATGTATATTCAAGGCCATTTTCAAAATCCCGTACACACCAGGAAACGTCGCCTAAAAGCCAAACTTCGAGCCAATTACTGTTATTAAAGACCGGTCAGCGACAGTTATGCAAGGGGATTGAACAATACAGATCGGTCCGTAGACCTGAAGGAAGATCGACTTACTGCCAAGGACAGCTTTCTTCTTTTGGGACTGTACGTATTTGTTAACATCGTTAGCAAAGCCGCTGCTGTTCTCCTCTAGTCTATCCATGCTGTCTCCGACAATCCCAAGACGCTCCGTGCGTTCTTGGACTTGACGTGACATGTAAGACCAATAGCCTTCCTGGCTACTGCTTTGCTCAGATATCGGTGGTGTCCGTCCTTCTTTGAGGGCTTTCCGACGTTCTTGGTCTTCTAATTTCATTTGTTCGATCATCCGCTTTGATGGTGGCCGCTCTGGACCGCCGACTAGATTTAATGTTAGATTCTAGTTAGAGCTGGATTGACGGGAGGGGGTGGCGTACTCAGAATATCCATGTCAGCTGGCGAAATGTATTGTGTACCAGAGATCCATTGGACGTTCGTGATGGTAGGACGCGGGGGAACCACGGCTTCTGGGTTGTAAAGCTTGTCATTTGAAGCGTGTCTGTGGGCAGGGTCAGCATTAGCACCACGTTTTCAGCAAATCGAGGGGGGGTTCATACAGTCCGTTTCCGCCTCCCCAGACATTGAACATTCCGATCTCTGAAGGGCCGACCCATGTCATGATGTTTCCAGTTGGTGTGATGCAAGATTCTGAGAGGCGTCGCATGTCCGCAATATGGTTAATTTTAGTGCGACCGATATCTCGGAGACCAGGGATCGAAAATGCTCGCGCATGGCCGTCACCGAAGAGACCAACCAAGCTGTAACCCCGCCCTTCAGTCTTGACGACGGCTGCCGAGTCGCAGAGATAGTCATCCCATGATTTGTGGGCACCCTTTGATGCCGGGGGCTTGAAGATCCGACAGCCAGAGGCAGTCACGGCAATGACGACACCATTGATTTTCGCACCAGTCCTCAAGCCTCCAACTGCACTTGGTGTAGCCAAAGCAAGACCACCAGAATCCGCATCAATAGGGATGATACTGATAACATTGTCTTCAACGGCCGATGATCCAGCAAAGGCAGCTTCGTAGGTACCATTGGCACCAGGAAGGATCTTGAATGTTGCCACATTGCCCCTGTTTGTGCCGACGAAGCAGCAGATGCTTGAGTAGTCTGAAATGCGGTCAGTACGTTGGTCTGATTCGTTAGCCGGAGACATGTCTAGGTACCTTCGCCGTCCAAAGTCATAACACCAAACTCAATCTGGGTGGCCCATTCTGGATGGACTTCCTCCGAGCCACGATTCTTAAGGAACCCACCCCGCTTCTGTGCCCTAAGAAGTTCTGGCAGATGTGCGGTGTGTATGATGGCAGGCCCGCGCAGATCAACAATCACCACAGAACCACCTTGGTAACCGGCCGCTACAAATCCGACCTGCCCATGCTTTAACGCTGTCACCGGACCTTGTTGCATATCCAAGAGAGTTAGAGGTAGCATTCCCGTCTTGAGGCCAGGATCTGTTCGCTTAGTTATCGGAGTCAGCTTCCCTGGCCCTTGATTGGCACCAGGAGACTCCTCGCGTCCATATGATGGGTTATTGCCCCATCGGAAGACAGCAACTTCTCCGGACTTGAGTCCAATAGACATCTCGCCTGAGCCGCTGGCGAGAGACATTTCAGTCACTTCAATATTGCCGACTCGGCCTATAGCACGAGCGAGATCAACTTGAACCACATCGCCGTTCTCAATTTCATCATCGTGCCCACAGTCCCAGACGCGCACGGTTCCATCTGCGTGTGCAGTCGAGATAACATTGCGGTTTTCAAAGCGCTTGAGAGGGTTTTTTGCTTCTATACCGCCCATCACAAATTTGGGTCCCTGCAACCGGCGCTCTCTCAGGCCAAGCCACACTGTCCGATCAACGGGAGTAAGCACAGCTTTGTTTACAAAGGGATGAACGAAACTGAGGAACGGATGAAGCATATTAGTGGGGGTGATTGCGTGTCCACTGGGGAAACTTAAGGTAATAATTTCACCCGAGGATAGCATAGCAATGAGTGCGATTGGATCATGGGCGCCATTGAAGTAGGGCGAGGATCGGGGAATGAGGCAAAGGTCGACGACCTTAGCTCCCGGTGGGACTGCGAGGTTTATTTGTCTCCGTGGTCGCTCCAAATAAGTAGAGAGTATTTGCCAAGAGGACGTCTGGTAGTTCGGGGTTGGGCCCATGTCCAGGAAAACGAGGCCTTTGCTCTGATCACCTGCTAGTCGACCACCAGCCACCAAAAGACCAGTTTCATCTGCGTTATCTTTGGTGCACCAAATAACCTTTGTGATCGGCTCCTTGGGCCCAGCAACCTCTCCAGATGAGCCTGGTCTGCCAGTAGCACCTGGTTGGTCGACATTGGGTGTCTGGATAGTCCGGGCATGAAGCTTACGGCCATCCTTTGTATCCCAGAGTACTAGACTAGAGTCTTCATGGACAGTCAAAATGAAAATTCCGTTGGGGTGCCAGATCGCGTTGGTCAATTTAGGTCTGCGCACGTCGTGGGAAGGTAGGGAGTCTCCACCCGGTGCCCCAGGAGGGATTTCGTAGACAAAGTACTTTTGAGCGATGTTTTGCTTGAATGAAAACGTCACCGCTCCCTCGGGATATCCCACTAGTATCTTGCCAATATCCCGCGGAGAGAACTCTAGAGATACGACGGGGAAGAACCGCGCGCGGGGGTTTCGCTCCAGCCACAGGTTTGGAACTTTAAATGGCGTCAAGGACTCTCGATCGAGATCGTACGCGATAATTTCACCTACTCATAAGTCAGTTCTCGGTTCTTTTCTCCATGCTGATATTTCACAGACCATTCTGCAAGCCGATGAACGCATAATCCAAGCACGGGTCCGTTAACAAGGCAGTCACCTGACCCGGTGGCGCATAGGAAACCACCGTGCGTCCAGTTGCCAAGGAGTAGATGCATATTTCATTCCTGGAGTCGATACTAATCAGCTTGTCGGCGCAAAATTGAAGGAACCGCGCGGAGGCCTTTCGTGGGAACTCAAAGACCACTGAAACCCGTCGTTGGCCAAAGACATAGATCTGCCCACTTCCGAACTGGGTGTCACTGGTGCCGACCGCGATGAGCGATTGTATGGGATCGTATGCGATAGCACTAATCTGCGAATTGACACCACATCGGGCGAACTGAGAATAGCGGTGTCAGTTAAAAAAGAGGATGCCTGGGATGCCAAGAACTTACGTCGTCCAAGAGGAACAAGTCCGGGGACAAACCCTCGGACAGGTCCTTTTGGATCCCAGCTTGCTTTCCTCGCAGAAACTGAGCCATCTGCGATAGAGTAGCAGGTTGTTGAAAAGTAGAAGTCAAGTCGGGGTGTGGAGAGAGAACAGCATTGACGCCATGCAGAAGCTAAACAACGGATCTGCCCCGCTCCGCCCTAACGCCCTAACGCCCTATCAGTTCCGCCTTGGCATTGAAGGCAACGGCATTTGCTCCCTTGATGTATATCAAACTTGATTTTGATTGGAAATCTCCTGTGAAAATGCTATGGAAATGAGAAGAGAAAAAAAAAAAAAAACTCCAAATCACATGCACGGCCTCTTGAGAAAGAAACATCGCTATGCAACACCAGTTCAATGGCGATCATATAGGTATCACGTTGGACATATAACCATTTTAAACACCCTTGCAATGCTATTCCACTTTCAGCCTCGTCATTTCTGCAATGGTGGTTGTCAATCGTCTCCGCGCAGCAAACTCGCTCGTCTCGTCCCGATTTCGATAATATTGCACAGTGATTTGGGATACCAGGCGGTAGCACGCATACCTATATCGGCGAGAAATAGTTAGCAACATCAACATAAAGTGAAGCAGTAGGCAGTATTCCACTTACAAAACCAAGCGGATATTTTCCTTCTTTGTCCTGGACGTCGCCATTCCTGCTCCCTGCAAGACTGCCGGGGATGCATTCGCGAATATCTCCGCCATTAACACATCACCCCACAGGGCACTGCTGAAGTCCACAATGCCAGACAACTGCCCGGACTCCTCATTCACCAAAACGTGGGAAGATCGACCAAAATCCACGACCACCAGACGTGGTAGCGATACATCTTCGAGAGCAGGTGCCAGGCGACTCAGCTCGTGTCGGATCTCCGAGTAAGGAAGGTGAATGAACATATCCTCAGCGTCGCGAAGAACACCTTCAAACAGGGCACAAAAGGCCTCTCGCCAGGAGGGTCTCCCAGCACCAAATGCCACTTGCTGCAAAGACCCGAACCCAGGGGCAGCATTTTGGCCGATGGTGCTCACTAAGAAGCCCAAATGGCGGTCGATACCGTCTCGTTGCTCCGAGGTGAGTTCGCCATCCATCTCTGACAGGCTTTTCCCTTTCATATACTGGCGAATCAAGTAGGCAGATCCCCAGTGACTTCCATGAGGGTCGTAATGATAGAGCTGGGGGATACAAGGGTTTGCAGTCTGCCCTAGAAGAGCAAGAAACTGGGCTTCGGTTTCGAGAAATGACCGCTCGCGTCGAAGGAGAGCGGTCCGTGATGATGGGGATCCTTTAAGCAACAAATGAGCTCCATTTGACAGCATCAAAAGCCGCAGCGAGTGAATGTGACCGAAGATGGGATGTGAGTGTTGCACACGGACAGTGGAAGGATACAGCAGCGAGAGGACATAGTCTAGTCTATGGTGTTCGTCTGCCTCGGCGTGAAAAGACCCACTGGGGCCATTTGTTCCCTTGAATGATGGCATTGCAGACCATTTTGTCAAGTCAAGTTGTTGCATCGTGATCTATTTAATGGGGAATATTGACGAACACAGGATGCTATATAAGCGAAACTATTACGACTCATGAACCAGGGAAAAGATATTGCCGGTGGGGGGGACGATCATGTATGAACAAGGCTGTCACAATTCAGAGACCCTGTAAGCCAAAACGAGCAGATATATGCCGAGGGTATACGGAGTAGTTTGATTTCAAAAGCATACTCTCCCAGCAGGCGTGGCGCAAGTCCCGCTTCTAGAAGAGGGAATTCGCGCAACATTCCATAAGGAGTACTCCGTCGAGCTATATCAATGGGGTACACCAGACCGCCATCGCGGTCTACTCCATCAATAATAGACAATGACAAATGGCTCCGCCATGACTCTCTTTACGCGAGATACGTAAGGCCCTATCCGAGGTTGAGCATAGATTGAGTCCAATTGGAGAATCTGGGAAACGAGTTCCCAAGCGAGAGTGCAAGGACCCTGTTCTCACATTGGCCAGTTAATAAGAAATATGGGACAAGTAAATTCAAGTAAATTAAAGTGAAGCCGTCTCGCCTAAGGATCCCGCTCTAAGAAAGCTGATCATCCGAGCACTTGGCCCCTGACCAATCAAAAGGATCCCTTGCCGAATTCCTTGCCGTCCACGGACCAGAAAATCATCGAACTTCGATTCTTCTCTCGGTTCCTTCCCGAGCTGTTCGCTTCCATCTAGTCTGATCGCTTCTAATTGCTGGCTTCATGCAAGCCATCGGAGATTTTACTCTTGAATGTCATTTTTCTGAAACACGTCCGAATACAGCTCTAATTCTTTTTAGCCTTAGATGATGTTCTCTTATCTGATTTGTCAGTATCTGGCTTGTGACTTCAAATGGGCACGTGGACCCTCGGATATACGATACACTAGCCGCATGTTGTAGGCGATATATTGTACGGAGTATGTAGTGCCGGATCTGTGGATTTCCCGATCGGAGCGCCGCTTTATGCGCTCAGCCCTGGAGAGTCTCCGGATCTCAGTATTTCATAGCACAGGGTGATTACCCATGGCCCCGGGGCCCCGGCGGCACTTACTACTTAGTAAGCTCGAAGGTCATGTGATCTCGGCTCATTTACCATGTGCTCCCAAGCGGTTTTGTGAACTGCAAACCGCTTGGTAGGCACTGATTGACTTTACTGGCGAGATGGCGCGGGTTCATCGACCGTGATCCGCCTCTCCCACCAACGATAGCAATGCTGGTATCGACAATGACGCCAGCCCGGTGCATGTAGATGTATGATTGCGAGATTCGATCATTCAAGCTTGCGACACCGCAAGGTCCCAACAAAAACCAAATTCAGCAGCGTTGTCGCGAAAATTCGCTCTCTTTATCGTCTCGAATTCCCTCGCGACCTCTAATCTGGACCGTGCCAAATCATTGTGGCAAAAGATCCCCGCTTTGCAGAATATAATCTCTATCTGCCCTAACGCCAAATAGACGTTAGACATATGCCAATCACGTGTAGATACCGGATGCGCTATCATTGACTAGGGCAAAGCAAAAGGAGAAGGTTGAAATTAGGTTGGAATGTATCCGTTTCCGACCGTGGACGTTTGAATAAGAGACGATTTGACTCCGTACTATAAACGATCATTGACAACAGTTGGCAGAAATGTATTCTGATTCGAACTAGTGCATTTGAAGTGGGGCCGGAAATAAGAGATTTGTACTCCGTACTCCGTACTTCAAACCGGTTTCGAATACTGTAAGGGAAAGAACCTCGGTAGCGCATACAGACTCTTGTGCTCGGCTACCTAGACCAGAATACAAGGTAAGACTGTGATATTTACTCATATTTACAGCTTTCTTTGTCTCTTGGAACGGCATCACGTGGCCCGGACCAGCATCAGGGCCTGGAACTAACTTGGGAAATCTTGTTTCCAATCCTGTTCTTGCCCTCTTGTGTCCTCCCCCATATCATCAGTCTGCCATGCGCTTCTGGCCGACGCAATCTGAACCCCGCGAAAAAGATGCCTTCGAGTGTCTTCTTCCCAAAGGCAGATGCGACGATTCTCTCGTCAAGGCGTCACTCCCCACCCACGCGCCCGCATACCGTTGGGCCGATTTTCGACCCAGAAAACATCAATAAGCCAATATGTCCCTGGTCTGATGAGGTCGGATCGACTCTGTATCCCAGCCTTGGCCCCGACGCGCCCACGTCCGCCGTTTGCAACAAGCCGCCTGGCCTCGGGGTCGAGGATCGATATCTGCGTGCCATGCTGGCCCACAATGAGAGACTAAGGTTGCCCATGCTTTGGTACTACACTCGCGATGTTCTCGAGGAGGAAGAGTTACTTTCCGGTCTTCAAGACAAGGTTCATCTGGCTAAGGAGGCCACTGGATGGGAGTTCGCGATCATCGGCATCCTTGATATCGATATGTATATCCGCCTAGCCACGGTAGGCGTTCCGTTAGGCATCCTGCCGAGGGGTGAAACAATCTGCGCTCATACGGTCACCCAACCTCCTGGTGTAAGTATCAGGTTTCTTCCACCCACTCAAACATTGCTAAGCATACTACGTAGAGCGTATTCCATTTACCAGCACTCATGGAAGATTGGAGGTTTCGGACGTGTCCCTATCTCGAACAAGGCGGGCTTTACGCATACGCCGGTGTACCGCTGCGTCTGCAATACGAAACCGGAGAGTGTGTTGGTATTGGTTCACTCTGCGTTGCCTCGAGTAAATGCGAAGAACCGCTCACAAAAGACCAGCAGCAAGCACTCGTCCGCCTGGGCGACTGTGTCGTCTCGGATCTCATTAACACAGTGCGGGCGAAGCGCCAACGTGAGCGGCGTCGTATGGCTGACCTCCTCTCCGACGTACAGTTGGAATTGGACAAGGTGGTTTCCGAGGAACCTATTTATCGAATTCTCCGGAGCATCTACCCTAATGCCATCATCAAATTGCAGCCGACAAAGGCGACCTATGTCGAGCTGGAAGGACGCAAGCCTATTTTGATGTCAGACTTAAAAGATGGCCTGTGGGAAGATGCGGAGTACCTAGATGCATTGATCACCGATTCCAACCACGAGGCTCTTCCAACCACCCACATTGTCCGCATCCTTGCTGCTGCTTGCGAGATTGTATCGGGTTCATCTTTGCTCATGGTAGCCTCAAAGGACTTTCACTTCGTGTTTGATGATGTCGACTTGTGGTTTGTTGAGACATGTGCTGGCTTGATCTCCCAGATGTGGCGCAAAAGACTCTTATTTGAGGCGCTGAGTGCGAAGGAGAAGTTTCTTAGGGGATTTTCCCATCAACTTCGCACGCCGATCCATGGTATTCTCGGTTCGGTGGACCTCCTAGCTGAAGAGCTTCAATCCTGGTGCTCAGACGAGGATTCTTTCCTAGCCACAGGATCAGTTGAAAAGCCTCTTAAAATGCGTTTAGACGAACATTCCAAATATTTGAGCATCATAAAAATGGGCGGCAGAGATCTGGTTACAATCATCAATAATATGATTACAACCAATCGGTGGGCGGATATTGCTACGATGGATCGCCACTATGCCATGCATCCGGTTGAAAAGCTTGAGACGGAGCTGTGTACCGGCTTAATCAACCTGACCGTGGGAGATGCACGGTATCGAGCGTCCGTTTTCTTCAGCCATAATCTGCCTCCTGCTTGCGAGAGTATCTGGATGGACATCGATGTGTTTCGAGACAGCATTCTACCACTTATTCTGAATGCAGTTCAGCACACACCGGATGGAATTGTTTCAGTAACATTATCACTGAATTTGGACTCGAGGCAGCTGACGGTGGATGTCAGGGATAATGGTCAAGGCATTCACCAAAATGATCAGCGGCGCATATTCGAACCATACGAAAAAGTCGATATGCACTCAGCACGGGCAGGACTGGGACTCACTGTGGCGTCCAGGTTCGCATCGCTCTTGCAGGGATCAGTTGCTTTGATGTCCTCGAAAGTTCGTCAAGGTTCTCACTTTAGAACAACCTTCCGAAGGGTTGAATATACCAGCTCCCCTAACGCGCCGCAATCGCTAGCCTCAAAGTTTCAGAATCTGTCTCGAACATTCTTCAACTTGACATCTGATTTAGGTTCCATGTCACTCTGTAGCCACTTCATCACTTTCCTAACACGCAGTGGCTTTGCACCGTCGGCTTGCCTAGAAGGCTCCTTTGTCATCCTTGAAGCTGTCCCGAATGTAGAACAGCACCACCTACAGCTGTCCCAGATCCCACCGGGAACTGTTGCGATTTGTCTTCTTCCCGGTCTTGAGGCAGATTTACCGCTTCAACGGACGGCTAGGAACGTTGTTTACACCAGCGGCCCTTTCTCTACCTTGTCTTTAGGCTCGGCACTCGAGCAAGCTGACCGCCTCTTGGCGAATATCAGAAGTTTGCAATCCTGTGTAGCCTTGCCGATGCTTCCAAAGGCAGCTCAATCAACGGAACCAAGTGAAGTCGAGCCACACCAACTTTCGATTGACGTTGCCAGCCCTAGATCAGAAACTGCTTTATCTTTGGGATCCAATCGGGATGTCGCGCCCTCCGCAGACTTAACAGAACTCGTTCCAAGCTCTCGCCAGCCGAGTAGTTCTTCGCGACCCACAACATTGATTGTGGATGACAACTCTATCAACCTTCGCATTATGGAGATGTATTGCAAAAAAGAGGTTTGCCTTACTTGGCTGCAAAGAATGGGTTGCAAGCTGTAGAAATCTTTTCGCAACGCCAATTAACTTGTGTCGCTACTAAAGAGCCCCCCATCGAGCTGATCTTCATGGACCTTCAAATGCCAGTCTGCGACGGCATCGAAGCCACCAGGCAAATACGAAGTCTCGAGCAACAGAACAACTTGACAAAGGCCTTGATACTGGTTATGACTGGTCAAGACACCGCTGCGGATAAAATTGCCGCACAAGAGGCAGGCGGGGATAAATTTCTTGTCAAGCCGGTGGTAATTGAGCAATTGGATCGAATCGTGAAGCGAAGTTTCCCCTTTTTTGAGTCGGGTAAGAAACCATAGGCTCCTGAAATTTATTCTGCATACAGTGTTCCAGAGAAACGGTGTCTTCCAACCGGGGAGGCAATATCGGACGCCACGATACCAAATAACTATAAATTAGTATCTGTAGAAGTCGAAAACAGATTCCGCCTCTACGCAGACAGGCGCTTTCTTTCCCAGCCTCCTAATGCAAATCTTTGCAGGGTTTATGAACCACTTGGTGCTGAAGGTTTCGGGCTTGGCGGTGCCTAAGGTAGTCCACAAAGCCTACCGCTAAGCCGGAAGCTCGGCACTCCGGCCACCGAAGGTAGGGCTTAGTGGCCCTTAGGATAGGTCTATATTAGAGAAGTAAGCCCTACAGGGCTCCAGCTCGAGGTACGGCTTGTATAATTACTTAGTATATAACTACCTAACTAGGTAGGTAGGTATCCTATATCTAATACTATCTAATAGAGACCATGCGATCCTTATAGAATCTTAGCCAGTCATCTATAGTGTGCTCCGTAGTACCAGAGGACAATATTATCAACGAAACTGGATAGACCTATAAGAACTACAATCCTTGAAGAACTTGGTCTACAGAACTAACGCTAAAGAAAACCATACAGACCCCTCCCGTGCTATTCGCATCCCCATGAGTATGCTTCTTGGCCAGCCACATTGTCCTCAGTACTGATTTCTGGAAGATAGTATCAAAGTACATGAACCAAGCATCGTTTTGTTCCAAATAGTCTATCTATAATTCTATCAAGTGCTCCAATGGCTCCCATCATTTTGTTTGAATCGACTGTCTATCATTCTATCAAGTGCTCCAATGACTCCAACCGAGTCTCGGCCCAACAGCCTTTTACTGGTCTCGTAAGTTATGCTTGCAAAGATCTTCGCGTGACATCTGCCGAGTTTCAAGCAACATCCGTACCGATATTAACAGCGAATTTGCTGTATTTGCGAATTCTTGGTCCATACACATAAAGCAAGTACGGGATTGCAGCCATGATGGTACTGATGGCCCCCAAGATGGTGAGTGTGTAATGAACCCCGATAGCGCGGTAAATAGGTCCCCCAGCAACTGTAACACCGCCTGCCACCACATATCTGGTAAACGCAAGGAATCCCAAAGCAGATGCTGAGTATATATCATAGGAATCTATGAGATACATGTATGTGGAGATGAAGATAGTCGTGATTCCATATCCAAATACGGCAGAGGCGATTATAGGAGACCAAATTGAAATGGACGGCTAAACATAGACAGAGTGAAAGTCAGTCGCTGAGATAATGACGAATAAATCATGAGCACCTACATAACTGGTCCAACCCATCCAGAACAAACTTATTGGCACTGCTGGAGCACCGCCTAGCATTGCATACCAGAGTCGCGTTTCAGGGGTGATACTCGAAGTCTTTTTGCACTCTGTGGCAGTCCAAGAGTATACAACCGGGACCAGGAAGCTAACAAGTAAAGTGCCACAGAGCATCCCCGCCCATACTATGCCGGTCATCTCCTGTGACAGGCCATATGTATCACCAAAAATGTACCTATAACCCTCCAAAAACGTGAAGAGGATGATATAGATAACGGTAAGGTAGAGACACATCAGGATGATGATCAACTCCGAGTGTACCAGCACAAATGGCCGATATACCGAGATCAGTAGTCGTCGGCCCAAAGATTCGTTTTTCATCTCCATCGGAGCTTTGTATCTCTCATCTCCAGTTTCCTCGCGGAGAATCTTCGCTTTCCAATACAGAAGCAGATTTCCGTATGTTTCTGGTTGGAGTAGAAGAATAATCACAAGAGTCACACCCCCCATGATAAGCATAATCCACTCGAGCCAACGCCATCCCAAATGAGTAGGGATATAGCTGCCTATTATTTGCCCTATCATTGGTCCCACGAAAGATGGAATAGCATAGGCTGGAAAAGCATATGTCTTTTGCATTGGATCCCACAAATCCGCTACCGTGCCACCAGCGCAGGTGAGGGGAGTGGAGCCAAAGAAACCCGCAATGAAGCGAAAGATCAGGTGGCTATGAACGTTTGGAGCGAGTGCCGAGGCCATGATAAAAAGGAGAAAAAGAAGCATAGTTATCAGATAGACGGCGTTTCGGCCAAACGTCTCGGAGAATGGGCCTGAAAGGAGAGATCCGGACCCAAAGCCGACCAGAAATAAAGCTGATAGAGCGGTTAACATACGTGGAAGTAGTCATTATTTTGACAGTCTGTGCTTACCTGTCGCAAGAGATCCGACTACTTCGGATACATTGAATTCTTCACTGTACTGGAGGACGCCACAAGCATCGATTGCGGACGCGGCAGTCACAGATAAAGCAATCAAACTGATCAGAAGGGTCATAAAAATCTTCTTTGATACACTCTGGTTGGCAGGATTCAAAGGATCCTTAGGGCTGTCCCAGCCCACAATGATGGTTGAACCGGTGGTGGGTTCTTCCTGGGCCAATACTTGTTTTGACGGAACTGATAACAAAGCGTGTAACTGGCAGCTGGATATGTCGCGCATGAGGTGAGTGATTTGTTTCCAAGACTTGCTGCGCTATCACGTACCTCGGGGTGTGTGGTGATCCAAGGGTATGTTTCTGGCAGCTGCATTTTTCTTTAATTTCCGCCAGTTGTTCACGTACAGCTTTTCTGATACGTTGATATTGAAAGAGAGATTCCATACTAGTAAAATACCTGAAGACAGGTAGTTCATATCATGAAAAAGTAAGATCACTTGCGATTTTATAGCCAGTAAAAAGTTGTCTTACGCTACGGAATAAATGTATCGGATTTAATACTTCCTTGCCAATGCTAATGACTGTAGGCAAACTCTTTTTATTCCACTTCATGCTAGCACTTGTTATTTATCAGCCAAATCCGAGATTGGATCATCGCATCGGACATGTATTAGCTCCGATAGATGAGAAACTCCGATCAGCCCTACTCAGTCTCAACCGAATTGTATCGGACTTTTCATTTTGTAAGCTACAGGGAATTTCTAACTTAAGAAAATTGATTCACAGCTTTTCAGCCAGTCTAATCCACTTCTTGGGGACAATATAAGTCAGTACTCGCTGCTCTTGTTGGAAACACGCTGACCTGTCTACGAAAATCACATATCAAAAACGGAATGGTAATATCTGATCTTCGATTCATGCACCGAGGACTTTGGGATCATTTGCATATTGGTATACGATGTTTGTTTGTTTTTTGCCCGCTGAAGCATGTTCGATCTAGAATATGATTTAATTCTTTTACCGACGAGTCAGCGCAGTGTAAAAATATGGACGCTGGATTGAAAACATCAAACTGCAGGAATATTGCCAACACTATCCAAGTTCTGAACAAGTTAGTCCAAAGTCAAGCAATCACAGTTCCATCTCTTACCCAATTAAAAAGATCTGCCCCAAACCAATCTCGAATATCAGTCCAGTCTTCGATTCTGCTCTCAAATTGAGGTTCCGAGTTGGGTAGTTGCTGATTGTCTGCGCCAAACTGAGTCCTGGAGGGAAATGGTCAGTCTGCTGAACTTTTCATCACGGTGAGGCATGACCTACTGTAATTGAAGAAGTATGCGATTTGCCTTCAAACATATTGCACTTCGATGAGAAAGGCTCTGCATTCGGAGCAGGAGTTTATTCAACGCCTCCCTGTACGAGCTTGACTCAAAAGACGGCGGCATATCTAGAAGACACGAGTTGAGCGCTACGGCAGCGTGAAGTGCCTTTAAGCTCGTAACACCCCTGAGCAACCACAGGTAAGGCCGGAGCAGTGGAACTTCGTATATCTGACGATGGATGTCTAGTAAACTGGCACTGGAAGTTATACATCTCTCTCGAGATGATGCAAGGAAGCGCGATGACTGAGAATGACGAAAAGGACGATGCAGAAGCAGGTACAGTTGATGTGCATAGGTTTGGAGAATACACCAATAGGCGTAACTAGAATCCAATATATTTGGGGCACCATCCACCAGATATGTCGCGTCCCATCTCCGCTGTTCCTCGGCGATGATCGCATCATATCTATTCAATGGCTCTACCTCAAGTCGTGAGGGGCCAGATATGTGGTGACAGATTTCAGTGCAGATCCGAAAAATTCGAACTTTGAACATCATCACGGACATCTGCGTGGGCGAGCTAGATGGACGTGAGATTCCCTCTTGGGTGATATCGGCATCATTGACATCCGCGGGCATTGTGGCTTTTATATCAAGGAGGAATGACATGTCAATATCCCGAAACAGAATCGCTTGGTAGGTATGTAGGGTCAATATACCAGCCCAGCAGCGTCGACGTCTATCGGTCTCGAGAGGGTCAAGTCCCTGGGAGTCAACATTGCACCGTAGCGCTATGCCGATGTTTAAGGCCATACCCAACAAGGCCCACCCTTGATCGACTGATTCGTTGTGGGAAAGGTTATATATCACCATCAGCAAAGCCTCGAATGTGCTGAGTTTATGTCGGATGAAAAACTGATCTTGTAAAAGACAAACCATCGCAGTTTGCTGAAGGCGGCGGGACAAAGTCACAGCCTCCTGCTCCTTGGAATAAGGCCCTGTTGGCCATATATCCACCAGTCTCGGATCAGTTGGCTCCATAGTGTTCAATGTTAAAGAACACATAGAAAAAAGTAAAGCTAGCCAAGAGAGATCAACTTTATATGGCTGTTGCATGAAGGCAACATACTGCTTCTGGAATGTTGGACCATGGAGAATGGGGAACAGGGCTGATATATGATTGAAAAAATGAGAAACCAGGCAGTCGCAGGTGGTTTTCGAGGGTAAACTGTTGATAATATCTTGAAGTGAGACACTCGGACCAATTGAAAAAGGAGACAAAGTGTCAATTTCTGCGACAGGATCATGTTCCGGAAACGGTCGTTGAAGAGCCGCTTCCCAGCGGGTATCCTGGGAATCTTGAATTTCGTCAGGCCCCAACTGTTCAGCTCGATTCTCCAAGCAACCAATGACAGGTTGCCTTGATGGGGTTGAGGGAGTGGTGGATGTGCTCCTAGGTGGCACATTTGACGAAAGATTTGACGACGGATTTAACGTTCTTGGCTGGAGATTAATGGATGTAGTTGCGGCACTTGTAGTCAAGAAGGAGCATGACGATGCGCATCCCCGCCGTGTACAAGCACCACAAGGCTGTTTACGATCACATCTTAATTTGGAGTATCGGCAATGCTCACAACTGAGGACTTTTCGCTTTCGGCGATGAGATGCAGGGCTCGCTCGGTCCCCATTCGTGGAGCTTTGAGTCATTATACTGCGGAAATCACCTCGTACACGGAGTTCAACTTCCGGTACTAGTCATTGTGAAGATAAAACCGACAGGGCTGTCGGAGAAACGGTGAAGAATATCGGAGTTTAGTGGCCCCCACTGAATATCTCCGACTGCGAAACATTAAGCTTTTCGGGGCTTCGGAGTTCGTCGGATTTACGTTCACCTGATCTGCCAAGGTTTGGATCTTCCCATCTATGTATTTGACCTCAGTCTTCGGAGTTGAGTCAAACGTGCAGCCGGCGAGGTTGCCAATAAGGAAGTTCGAGACATGGATGAAAGTGTCCCAAAAACGGACATGTGCCTATGCAATTTCTGATTCCACTTTTTGGAAGAGTACATGTCGCGGCGTAGTAGGGATATACACGGATTACTCTGTAGGATATGAAAGTGTTTTGATATCTGACACTCTATGGTCAAGTGTCATTTATGAGGCGCACTAATATTAGGCTTAGCACGGGTAGTATCTCACTTTATTGAGGTGAGCTGCTAGCTTCGCTGATATCCCTGACTGGACGGTTCCTTGGGGAACCTTGGAGATGTAAGTAAGTGGCGTATGTAATGATCAGGTGATCCACACTCAGTTGAATGCTTATGTCACGGTTAGGACGTGCTCCGTTTTACCCAGCGATCAAAAAGCGGCAAGGGGTGAGCACTAAAACGAAAAGGCAAAGCCATGTCGGAGTATCAAGGACCGAGATGCAACGTCAATGCTTAAGCGTCCATGCAGTGATGTGTCAAATACTTCTCCACACAGGTGCTTGACTAAAGCCAATTAGATCACTCTAATGTTTCTAGAATATTTCTGTTTTCCAATGAAACAATACTGAACGAAAACCTAAAAGATATAAAAGATATAACGTGAGTGTTCCCAACTTTCATGGATATATCAGTTACCCATACGCTTTATGATAATCTTCAACAATTTTCACCTCGGCAGCGATGCTCGATTATACAATACTGGATGCATGCAGATCTCGGCAATCATGTTGGGCGAACAAGGGCTATTCGCTTAACATATATGTTTACGGGGATATTTGCATGAATTATGAAACCCCACTATCGAGAATGTCGTGTGGGTTCTGTTTCTCACTCAGGCTCGCTAGACACGAAGTCAAAATGACTATTTTGAGTTATTCAATGTTGCCTATACATACAGGCGAGTAATTTTACCTGAAAGGACTAGTCATAAGCGAGAGTTTGAAGGTACACCGCCTGTTTCACGGTTGCGATGCCTGTTCATCGACTATCATGACTGGAGATTGCGTTCGACGCGTAGTTTCCACTCTGCTTGCTATTTGATTACATCATCCCTACAGAGAATTTCTCTTTCTACACTCATGAGATACCTTCGAATGAATTGCAATGATAAGAGAGGGTGGTGAAGGGAGAAGAGAAACCCTTACTAAAAACCAGCTGTGAAGAGGGATACAAGTGCACAGAATGACTGATAGGATTTACAGAAAATTCCACAGGACTGAATGACTGTAAAAAGCACTTTTATTGATGCTCCGCCTTGGCCTTACTAACTTCGGCAGCTGGCTCTTCCTTCGGTGAAGGGTCATAGATCTCAGCCAAGTTGAACCGCTTCAGCTTATCGTAATCACCCTGCACAACACTCATTCCAATTACATTCTGCGACGAGTCAATAAAAGATCCAATACAAGAGCGTTCGCGTTTTAGGACTTACTTGGGCAACATCGACGAGGATCATTAGATCATAGTTCCTCAAATTCACTGGATGCTCTGGTCCGACAGCATCGGCGACAGTCTTAATAATAATGTCCCGGTTGAGCTTCGAGTTGCCTCGCACAGTAGGTCGAATAGCGTACTAAATAGGTGGCAAAATCAGCAATGCTCAAAGTACGTTTCCCCTCACAGACAAATGCGTGATCGGATCATTTCCTAGTTCAGTAGGATCTCCGACTATTCAGAGGCCCAAAGAGCGGGATAGGGAGCCTTGAAAACTCACCGTCTTCGGTGGGCCCCCCGAATGGAAATGAGGCTTGAGAATCTCTTTTGCAAAGGCCGCTAGATCCACACTCATGGTCTTTCTGATTGATGTGACTGGATGCATGCGCTTAATCCAACGGCTCTTCTTGGTCTCCGGGTGGGCATGTGCTTCGCTACACAGACGGTGCACAAGCTCCACTGGGTCTATTGAAGGATCAAGGCGCATGAATGTCACTATCAGGGATTAGTACCAATGAACGTTTTGGGGGCCGTGCACATAAGCGAATGGCGTTTTTTTTTTTGAAGGGGACATAATCGCAGACGTACCACAAGGCATGTCCATTTGCATAGGCTGGAATCGACGAGGTTTGTCTTTGTTAGGCTGCAGGCCCTCCAATTCTCTTCGAATCTGGGCCTCGATATCTTCATCATCAGTATCTTGCTCCTCTTCCTCTTGCTTTTCGGTGCTCTCAATAGCCTAGATGGAGTTAATGAAATTGTTGGATTGATCTGGAAAAAGTTTTCTGAAGCATCTTACATGAGAAAAAAATGTCCAATGCCTCTGATAGACACTTTCCTTCTTTGCCCATATCGCATGTCACAAACACACCCACATCGCCAGATTCAATAGCGACGCGACTTTTCTGATTCCCATATTTCCCACCCTAATCCCAATTAGTACCTTTGAGTACTTGTGGCAATCGGGATTTGCTAATCAGGCTCACCTTTCTCTTCTTCCAGTGATTTGATTCCGGCATAGTTCTTTTTTGGATCCAAGCCTGATATGTCAAGGATAGTGGTCTGAGGTGGGGGTAAATTTTGTGTGATCGGCCGGGAGATTTGGGTTTAGCCGGGACCGTGATCGACCTGGGCATATAACAATATATGTAGGCTTATTACATGATTTCTATACCTACAATTGTAAGATAGATATCTCTCGACATAATCCCTTATCTTGTTCTAGCTCTTGAAACAATCCACTGTAAAAATAGAAATGGCATGACATCAAGTCAATGACGTAGTCCAAGTGGTCTCACCCTCCCGAATCCCGTCACAACAAAAGTTCCATGTCCCCTATATCTTCCTCTCGCCCCTCGATCCCCTCTTTCCCTTTTCTCTATCTATCTCTATCCCCCCCCAAAGACACTTCAATTCATCATGGCTTCTACCGATATTGCCACCAGGGAGCTCAAGAATCCCATAGACGTTGCCGAGTACTTATTCCGACGTCTCCACGAGGTTGGAATTCGTTCATTGCATGGTCTTCCCGGTGACTACAACCTGGCAGCATTGGATTACCTTCCCAAATGTGATCTTCGCTGGGTTGGAAACTGCAACGAACTCAATGCCGGTAAGATAGACACTTGGCTACGAACGAATGATCTAGATCTAATAGCTCTTAGGATATGCCGCCGATGGCTATGCGCGTGTGAACGGTATTGGTGCCCTTGTCACCACCTTCGGTGTTGGAGAACTGTCTGCCCTCAATGCCATCGCAGGTTCCTACTCCGAGTTCGTCCCAGTCATTCATATTGTTGGCCAGCCCACCACCCGGTCTCAGAAGGATGGAATGTTGTTGCATCATACTCTCGGAAATGGTGACTTCAATGTCTTCACCAAGATGAGCGCGGGAATCTCATGCTACGTTGCAAACCTGATCAACCCCCATGACGCAGCCACTCAGATCGACAGTGCCATTCGTGAATGCTGGATTCGCAGTCGTCCGGTGTACATTACTCTGCCAACTGATATTGTCGCTGCTAAGGTCAACGGTGATCGCCTGAAGACCCCGATTGATCTCTCACTGCCTCCGAACGATCCGGAGAAGGAGGACTACGTGGTCGATGTTGTCCTAAAGTATCTTCATGCCGCAAAGAACCCCATCATTTTGGTTGACGCCTGTGCTATCCGTCACCGCGCACTAGAAGAAGTACGCGACTTGGTCGAGAAGTCTGGCTTGCCAACCTTTGTGACTCCGATGGGCAAAGGAGCGGTGAACGAGAATCACAAGAACTTCGGTGGTGTTTATGCTGGCAACGGGTCTAACCCTGGAGTCAGTGAGGCGGTCGAGTCCTCCGACCTCATTCTGAGCGTTGGAGCGATCAAGTCCGATTTCAATACTACTGGCTTCACTTACCGCATTGGACAGCTGAACACCATTGACTTCCACAGCACTTTTGTGAGAGTGCGTTACTCGGAATATCCTAATATCAACATGAAAGGTGTTCTGCGGAAGGTCGTTCAGCGGATGAATCCTCTGAACCCTGCCCCTGCCCCTCCCATCACCAACAGACTGCCTGAAAGCGAGCAAAATTCCACTGATCAAACCATCACCCACAACTGGCTCTGGTCCATCGTCGGACAGTGGCTAAGGGAGAAGGACATCGTCCTTACGGAGACTGGCACTGCCAACTTTGGTATTTGGGACACTCGCTTCCCCGCAAACGTGACTGCCATTAGCCAAGTTCTTTGGGGCAGCATTGGTTACTCCATGGGAGCCTGCCAGGGCGCTGCCCTGGCTGCCAAAGAGCAGAAAGACCGCCGAACCATCCTCTTCATTGGCGACGGAAGTATCCAGCTTACTGTCCAGGAACTGAGCACTATCCTGAAGAGCAAGTTGAATCCTATCGTGTCAGTATCTACATCAACTCAGAGTTCTCATATCATGTACTGACCATCCCCAGGTTCGTCATCTGCAACGAAGGCTACACCATCGAGCGATACATTCACGGATGGGACGCAGAATACAACGACATCCAGCCGTGGGAGTTTGTAAACATCCCCAAAGTCTTCGGAGCCAAGGACAACTACCAAGGCTACCGTATCAAGACCCGTGACGAACTCAACAAGCTGTTCGCCGACGAGAGCTTCAACGTGTCCGACAAGCTTCGAGTAAGTTATCAATAGGGGATGTCTCTTAAAACTGTCTACTAATACACTATCTAGCTGGTCGAGCTGTACATGCCTCGCGATGACGCCCCTGCGGCCCTGAAACTGACCGCTGAGGCTGCTGCACACCGCAATAGTAGCGATTAAGCGAAGCGCGGGTACATTATGACTCATGTCGTAATATCACGATGCACATGAAAGCAACATGCTAGCAAAAACTGAACTTTGGCCTATCTAGGCCTTGGTGGTTTGTTTCCCATTTTCTGATTTCACGGCGTTTGTTTTGAAAGGAGATGGCCACATATCGGCAGGATTTAATAACGCTTGTTACGAGCAGCATGAAAATTTTCAGAACTCAATCATGAAATCAAGATGAAAAGTTTCATAGTCTACCATTATCCTTTAGCAAGGTCTGGCGTATATTGTCTCGCTATCAAGTTGTTGAGGATATGTAATCCGCAAAGACAACCAGCGTCCTCGGCTAGTACAAGGCTAGACCCTCTAACGATGTCAAAATTAACATATTACGTTGGAAATCAAGCTTTTTGTATACTTGAAAGTGCGACAACATATACTCGAATTTGCCGAATTCGGCTAGATAGCAAAAGGCTTCAAGGAATCAACATTCTGATCCAGCTCAGCAAAGTGTGCAAATCTCCCAGGGAAGGGCTACAAACCTTGGAAGAAAGAAGAAACCTTGCAATGGCTCGAGAGCGGCAAATCGGGATATTCAAGTTCGATTTTGGGTGAATCTTCTAATCTTCATTTGATGGAGATGGACTCTAGATTGTAGGTACCTAGATAGGTACTACATCGTACATAACCTTAGAATGTCCAGGATTAATGCACATATCCATTTATCATCTATAGTACTTCCACTCTGAAGCCTACAAAGTCTTTATGAACGTCACCCTTTGTATAGCGTCCTGAATCCTGATCCAAGGTGGAGTTCCAAGAATGATCTCATTGTCTGCCTCTCCACTTTGCGCAAAATAAGCCCTTAGCGTCCAAAGTGGTTGCATTCTCATTCGGGTCTATTGTGGTCTAAGAAATGAGAGAAAAGGTACGGCATTCGAATGGGGTCTGTTCCATGTGCTTATTCATACCCATGCACATCACGGCTATGTCTACCTACTAATTTCAATGTTGCAATCAAGATATTACACTACCCACATCTGCTACTCCGTAGATATAAACTGAACAGCCACTCTGCTGCGACTGCCGGCAAACCGGCTTTTCTCAAGCTACCTAGCCACACCCTAGAGACAAGCCCGACTCGGCCGATAGACCCGTAAACCAACCATTACGCAGAATTGACACGGGGCATAATTCGGCCGTGAAAAGCTTGGTTTTAAATCCCACACCTTGCTAGGTTGGGTGACGTGTCGGCTGGTAGCTCGGGTCGTGCCGAGAAGGAGATCTGGGAAAATCCCGTGGTCAGCACAGATGCTGCAGATGGTGTGCGTGGGACCGAGGCTTGTGCTTTGATCTGGAGTAAGAAGGCAGTGTTCGACACTATGCCTGGTCAGTACGTACTATGAAAAAGAACGTCAGATGCACGAGACTCTAACATTAATAGGATCTGGGTCATAGGATCTGGGTCTGCTTCTTTATGCTGGCTTTACATTCCACTATCGGCTCCAACGTTTCCTGTTATACCCATGCTAACTCCGAAGTGCTTCTTGGGTTAGTATGGCTACTATTCTGGCAAGCATTGTCGGTAAAATTCTCAGGCTCCCTATCATAAAGATTCTGACCTTGGGGGGACGGGCTGAATGTCTCAGTATCTTTGCCTTCTCAAGAAGACTGCTGAAGATTATCTATGATGGTGGCTTCGTTGCCCAAATGAAGTATTGCCCGGCACTGAAGAGACTGACGTGATCAAATTCGCCCATGGCTACGGTCTGAAGTACAGCTACATTGATTCAACAACCATTCTGGTTGCTTGTTGTTCGATATATCGCTAAACGGAGACTATGGGGTGGAAAATGTACAGAAAGGGGTCCTGCTCTCAAAATCTAGAGATATGAAGTCTAGAGTTTTGGTTTTTTGCGTACAACAGGTAAGGTGTCAAGACGGACAATTTCAGTGTTCTCTTAAGTGTTTTCCTTGGTATTTGCTTAGATATATTTCTTATAGGTATTTCTTCCCTCGATCAGTACTATAGGAAGATGATGATAATTAGCCACAGAATGTAGAAAACTGACGCTAAAAACGGCGTGAGATGTCCGACCTGATTTTTCCATGACCTTCACGAGGACGGTTAATGTGTTCAATGGATTTTTCTGACCTTTCGAAAAGAATTCTTCCTCGTGTTCTGTGGGTTTTCTAGCGAAACATTTAGTTTGCGCTTTTTTTTAAGAATCTGTTTCTCAAGTGACAGCCTTTGGGCTCTATGATCCGTAGAAGTACTAGAGGACTTCTTTTCAGCACCCCAGACTAACTGTAGGCATACACTAAAATATGAGTAATTTCTTCAATGTTCTTGGACACACGCCACAGGGCTGTTATTGGTGCTAGGTGATCACGGGCCACAGTGAGCTGGGAGATTGCAGGGCCTCGGATGGGGTCCCCAGGGTATCCCATGAAGTGTCGGTTCAAGAAATAGTACTATATATTGTTTTCCTTTCTGATTGTATACTGTGTCCAAGGTACTCACAATTCAGAGCTACTACTCGGTACTATAACCCTAAAAGACCGGCCCCGGGGGCATCCAGCAGTTACGGGACCCACGTGACGATCCCTCTCAGGGCATCAAAGCACTATAACAGACATTTTGATATCGTTTTATCCCTTCGAGAATTCTTGGTGAGTTCCATTCGTTTCCGAGATACGTCGGAAGCAAGGAGTTGCGGTGTTCTGCGCTCGCTTCCAGTTGCTCGGGTTTTCATTCGCTCGACCTTTCGGCCTTTCGACCTTCCAATCTTCCAATCTTTCGACCCAATCGCATCATCTGAAAACACTCGGAAGCTCCTTGGCAGTTGACTAACCATGTACTGAGTCTAGAAGACTTTCCCTCTTTTTTAATCGATTATCTTGAACCCTGTACTAGCCCCTCGCGCGATCTCAGTCTGTTCCGCAATCCTAAGCGCTGCGATAACGTCTGCGACGCCGAATCGAACCATGTCAGCCCACGCACCGAGAACCTAAATTCGTTTCAGTTCTGCCCTTCTGAAGCGATCGGCGAGATCGAGTATCAATTCTTCGAGTCCGACCGTTTGTTTTGGTGTTTGGGACGTCGAGAATGATGTGTTGATGATCATACCTGAACAACACCGAACACACCTCCGCCTAAACGTCTTCCGAACGTCGCAGTTGAGACAGTGGGGTATAACTAGAGTCACTAGGCAGATCCGGTGAATCGGCTATCACAATGGATGGACGTCAACAGTATGTCCCGGGGCCCCCCGCCTTCTCAAGGCCAACACATGAACCTGCCTCCGCCTCCGCCTCGACATCCACAAGCCCAAACGTTGGTACCACCTCCTCCCCCTGGCCCGCCTCCAGGGACGACCTATGGAGCTCCGACAGGATGGCAGCAAAACTGGGCCAGACCGGCGCTGAACCCAGGCTTCCCACCGCCGCCACCTCTTGCCCCCGCGCCAAATCAACATCTGACATACGGTCGTCCACCAGCTCAGTTGTCGATCGTTCCCCCGCGCCATGACCATCAGCCTCTAACATCTGCAACTTATATACCCGGGAACGATACCATTGGCGTGGGCATTCCAGGGTTGTTTGATCCCCATGGAAGAGCTTCATATGATCCATATGCGCACACAAACGCCGAGAGACAACGATTGGGTCTCAGCCAAATGCACGATCACATCAATACTTCAATCCCATATAAAACAGACCCAAGCCTTCCTCAGACCCCCGGTGGCCGCACTATCTCTCCGCCTTACGCTCTTCATGGCAACATTCATGAATTAACGTCCAACGACAGTCCGCAACAGCAGGCGACAGCTCAAAATACCGAGCTTGTCAAAACATCTAGTCATCGCCATAATGTTAGCGGTGCTTCTCTGGGTGGTCTATCTCACAGCGAAGCTGCAATCCAGTGGCCGTTGGATCGCGTGCTCCTCTGGCTTGCCAAGAATGGATTTTCCAGCGATTGGCAGGAAACATTCAAATCGTTGGAGCTCGAAGGGGCTGACTTCCTCGAACTTGGACATGGATCCGGCGGGCGAGGAAATCTTGGAAAAATGCATCAAGTGGTTTATCCTCAGTTGTCAAAAGAGGTTGGCCGGAGTGGCAAAAAATGGGAACCTGGCCGGGAACGAGATGAAGGAAAGCGTATGCGCAAACTCATCCGTCAAATCCATGATGGTTCGCAAGACTATGCCGTTTCTACACCACTGAATCAGACGCAGCCGCCGGCGAGTGCGTTTCCTGAAAACAGTGCGGCCTACTTCTCCAATAATTTCCCCGAGCCACGTTCTGCTGGCCCTGTCCCTGGTGTCAATGATGTGAGTCCGGAGCATCTAAGTGCATTGCACGCCTCCAATCAAGGCCAGAAACCGACTGGGCAACGTTCTGTTACCATGCCGGTCCCTACTGGGCACGATTCGCCGAGGTACAATGACCCGCCGGCGCGAGAAAACTGGCTGCGATCTTCTGACCATTTGCGGTCCGAGTATACCCGTAACGCCTTGTCGGGGATGAACACCGATCATCGACGCCAGAGTCCGTCCATTGGCAGTGAATCCGGCACTTTCCAGGGATCATCTCTTCGGCCCCATGAAGAAAGCCCAAAGAGCGGCAGCCCGGCCATGCAACAGGCGTCACCCGCTAATCTGGGAGCATTCTCATCATCCACTGGGGATCTGACACTGAGACAGTATGACCACTCCCGGGGTAATAGCACCGACTCGGTCAATGGATTTAGTCGGGGCACCACAGCCCGATACTATGATTCACGTAGACAAGCCCAAGAAGGTGCTCGTCCCTCACCTCAAGATGCCTCTGGTCGACAGTGGAGTGACCAAACCTCGTCTTCGTACTCCAAAGAACATAAAGGCTTTTTCTCTAATATTCTCAAGAAGAAGACGAAAGTCACCGCTTCCAATCAGCCATCTCCAGATCAGGGGCACGAAGACTCATCACCTACCACGAGCCCAGAGACTCGCCCGAGTGAAGCCTATCTC